CCAGTCCTGGGTAACACCATCTTAGCACGTAAAAGTTCTGCCAGAAATCATTTGCAAACCACATTTTCCTCCTCAATCTCCATTTCCTTGGGTGTAAAATTTTTAATCAAATTATTTCTTGGTAGTTGCTGCAACTTCAGAATTCTCTAATTCTGCGAGGCTTCATGCAAGGAGGTCTTTCTTAAAACAGCTTAGAGTAGTAAAGGGAGGAATTTCCAAACACAAGCAATTTCCATTTCCAGCAGTGAACTACCACCCTACCTACTCAACTGCCGCTTCAAAGGGAACAGGAACAAATCCTGCCCTTCACCCTCTTCTCCTCCACACTCTGCCACATTGTCAGCCTTTCCCAGCTCACGAAATGGGAATGCCATCGGATAAGTCTCCCAGAAAGGTTTCCTGTGCCAGAAGTGTGGCATCCATCCTTTGTGGAACCTAGTGTGGTGGGAGGGGCGGGGGGGGGGGCAGGGGGGAAAGTACAGAGGTCGGGGGAGAGATTTGGTCCTGGAGAACAAAGTGGCATTGTCTCTACCTCTGAGATACAGGCAGACAGCTACAGCAGCACCAACCTATGGTCCCTAGCACAACCACCCAAGGGTGTATTATCATCACATGCTGGATCCTACTGATGGTGGGATCAACACATAGTTCCCCAGATGAGGATACTGTAAGATGAGGATCTTACCCTGGCCTCAGATCTCTGGCTACATTCCCAAGTCTGACACCAATTTGCCTGCTTTCACAGGTATAAATGGCGTGTGGCTGACAGGTGCGACTTTCTCTGGCCCAAATCCTGGGTGTGTGAACCTGGGGGTGGGAGGAGGAGAGAAGCAAGGCAGGGGTCGCCTCCAGTAGCTATGCTTTAACCTGAGTAATAAACACGTGGCATTCTCCATGGAATGAAGTGGAAACAAACAAGCTGGATCATCCCTTGCTTGGGAACCAGAGCATTTTCAACGTGTGGTTCTGTTTTTGATGGTAGCATACATAGAAAAAGAAAACAAAAATTGAATTTTGCTACATAAAGCATCCTGCTAGTTGCTGACTGCGTTTTTTTTTCTCATTTTTCTCCATCAGGTAACTCAGGAAAATGGCCACTAGGCCACATGCAATTATAAGGATGAGGGGTGGTTATAAGTTGAAAGCATGACGTTTACCACCTGGCCTGACTCAATTACTATAGATGCATGTGGGGGGATTCCACAATGAAACCCCTCTGAATTAAGGGACAATATCACTTAATTCCACTAGGAGAATGACTGGAGAAATAGGTCAACAGAAGGGCAAGTAAGAGGATGGATCCATTGGATGAAGATATTCTTTGCCAACCAGTCTAACAATTTTCACAAACATGCCCCCTTAAATTGGCACACATGAGACTGAATGCTGATGAGAATAGCAAAGAATTATTTGAAATTGGAATTGGCTCAGAGAAGTTCTCCATTTCATAACAAGATCTTCCTGTTTATAAGAGAAATAATCATGCATGCAACTAGGCTGTGGTGGTTTCCGGCAACCGTTCCCTCTTGGTATGCATACTGTTATGCAGGTCCCTTCCACATATCACACAGTCTGGTCTTCCTGCAGTAGTAATAGTGCACGACCTTCAAGACTAAATTAAAAGATCTTGCATCTGCTGCATTGGTTTCTCCATAGACATGCTGTGGGAAAGGCCAGCGGCCATGCTGTAAGGATGCTGAAGCAACTAGGATCCACTGAGTGGAGAGGAAAACTACCAGCTAGTGGATGAACCACCTTGAAGAGGATCCTACAGCCCTGCCTAGGCCCTTGGATGGCAGAGACCTCAGACAACATCTGAGGACATCTTCACAAGGACCTAAAAACCAGCATTCCCAGCTGAGCTCTTCCCAAATTCTTGATCTGCAAAAAAAACTAACAATAAACAAAGTTTTGACCTGGTTAGCTATCAGAAGCAATGGATAACTAGTAATGCAAACTGCATATTGATTTGCATAATATTGTTTAGTTATTAAAATAAGCTATTGTTTTCGATTCCTTCTCTATGTGGTCATACCTTTGATAAGAAATTATTGCAAAATTGTTCTCAGTTGAACACGTCATTCTATCTCCACTGTCACTGTCCTAAGTCACCATTTCCTCATTCTTTACCTGGACAACAGGCACCTTTTAGACTCTCTGCTCTGATTCTTGCTTTCCTGACTAACCCATTCTCTAGTCTTTAAATACCAGAGTAGTTTACAAGATGGAAATGAGACCACCTTACATGTCCTGTAACATTTCTGAAACTCTGAGCAGATAGAAGAATAACAATCCCAGAACCAGCATCTGATCCTTCAAGTTGAATTTCAATTTTATCTCTGTTTCTAAGGCCTGGTTCCTGACTTTCCAAAGTATGAGATTAAGCAGAGAGATTAAGATATATTCACGAAGCCAGGCATGGTGGTACTCTCCTGTACAATCTCAGCACTTGGAAGTAGAGGCAGAGAATCTCAAGTTCTAGCTCAGCCTGGGCTACAAGCAAAACCTTGTCTTAAAAGAGAGAAAAAAAAGCAAATATGAAACAATAAAAGAAACTTGAGCTTCAGAAGAAAAGCAATGACAAAAGTGTTGCAGGAAATTTTGAGTCCTGAGTGGAGATGGAATCTGAGACATTCACTGATGAACCTGTATGTAAATAGGCAAATGGAGGCCAGGGTGCAGGTGAACAGAATAACCCAGCCATCTGGGGCAGGTGTGCCATCTGGGGGTAGATGTGCTTCATGCTGCTCTGCCCTTTCCACAGCAGGACATGGACTGAATGGAGACTGACTGTTGAACACTCTTGGCTTTCTAGCCAACCTGAAGGAATTTGAGCTGATTGACGAGCAAGGCATTCACTAGAAATGCAATGTGCTTCGACAATGGCAGGAACTGTGTTGGATATCAGGGATATGAGAACACAGGGTTGGGGGGGGGCAGGTCTTTATTAAAAAATCACAAACTATATGCCAATAGCAAGTATGAAAAAGTCTACAAGTGTTCTGAGCATATTTCATAGAGGGATTCACCTCCAGAAGAAGTCGGGGAAGGTTTCCCAAAAGGTCTAACATGTAAGCCTGCATCACCAGGAAGATTGGCCGAGCAAGACTGAGAGAAGCAGAGAAAGGCAGAGAGCTGCACAGGATGGACTTAACAAAGCCCTACATTGGATAAACAAGGGATCGCTGTGGCTGCAACACTAGAAATGAGGAGGAGGAAGGGGGGGAAGGGGTGTAGAGGAGGAGGGCAGAGAAGTAGAGGGTCAACTTTTTGAGATTGTGGGGTGTGTATTCATAGAAACAGGGAGCAATCAGAGGGTTTTAACAGGGAGATAATGATTGAAATGTTCTGATGATCAGTCTACTGTAGTATCTTGATGAAAGGAGGCAAGGGTAGACTTTGGGGGAGTCGTTAGGGTGGTGGCATCCAGTGTGGAGAAGTGGGGATGGATTCAAGATCGAATGACAGTAAAAAATCAGTAGGTCTGTGGTCGCTGATACTAGAGGGTGGAGGACGGGGAAAGGGAGGTAAGAAAAGAGGTATCTGCTACAGAGAACGGGGTGGCTGGGATGTGAGACCATGGGGAAGGAGCACTAGAGGAGGAGCATGTTTTGGGAAAAGGGGAGCAGAAGGAAAATGGTACTGAAAATAAGTACCGAGCACCATATTAGGGGAAATTTTTTAAAGACTTCTAACTCATTGGGTTTGGGTTTTTCAGTATTTTATTATGGCACACAGGACAGAGTATGGAACGGTGTTTGTACTTCACTCAAGAATTTCTCACCCCAACAAACTATTTCCACGTGGACGGTTACTTTTTACACATATCCACATCATGGTAGACAAGGAAATATTTTACTTACTTGTACACTCACATATTCACTAAAAGTAAGTAGTGCAAAGCCTTCAAATAACTTGAAATGGCAGCCGCTTTGGTGTGAGGTGCAATACATGACTCTTAAAGGTCATCTAAAGCAGATATTGAACAAAATTAGCTGGCAAGCGCAGCTGTCGTAAGAACAGAAGCATAGTCGCAATAGTCAATAATTGCATCTCAATTTCACATCAAATACAGAGCTTTCATAATGCCACAGTGGACACAGACAGGCGGGGTATTTATTTGATGCAACATTCAACCAGTTAAGCTATCATTAGAATCCAAGTATTCTCCAGGTAAGACATGCAGGACAATATCAATGTAACACATATGCATTTTCTCCCTCTTATGTGATTGATAATGTCATCATCCATCTTTGTGATTTTTTAAAGGCTTCAAAATGTGTGGCATTAAATGATATTTATTTGAAGCAATAGGATTAAGCTAATAGCACACAGAACCATGAGTTCAGGATTGTAGGCAATGTGTTTCCAGGGACAAATAACCTTTGATAGTCTTACCTTCTCTACCACACCTAAACATTGACGAAAAAGTATTCCTCTTGATTTGATCGTGAGCTCAGGTCCAACTGCCACCCTTGATATTGAAAATGTAGTTGTAATAACTGTGGATTTCTATTTGGCTCACATTGCATGATTACATTCCATACTAGTTGGCCACAAAGAATATATTTGTCACCTAATTTCGAAATTATCTCCTAGGTAGCCATCTTCTAACTTTATGGAGCAAATTTGGTGTTATTTTTGTATATTCTCGCTCATGGTTTATCATCAGCAAGATTTTTGAGGGAAGAGACTTCCTCATAACCCTCAGAATTTCCAATTGAGGAATTAAAAACAAAAGTACTGTAGCTGTTAACCTCTGGATTGTACAAAAGCTCCAAGGTCAACAATCTGCTTGTATATGCTTTATACCTGTACTATCTTTAAGGTATTTTAATTAAGTCAAAAACACAGCCAGCCATGTCATTCAGTGTATCTTTATTTACTATTTATTGCACATAACTCGAGGTCTTTAGTTTCTGACCACCAAAGGATCAAAGGATTAATTTTTCATGAAGTTTAACATTAACATGAGTGAATTCATTTGTTTTTTTCTTTAATTGTAAACATCTGAATGATTCTCATTGCCAAAGATCCTGAACTCATAAGCGTGAACCATGCATAGGCTGGCGGCAGCCAGAAAGCCACTCTGCAAGCTAACAGATACTCTGCATAAGGAGAAAAATTCATAGCACAACACTGAATGTCCAACCTAATCATCTCAGAATTATACATGTAGTGACTTCGTAATTCACATAGGATCTGCAACTCAACTGGCTGGTTGGTGATGAGGTTGACCTGATTTGGGGAGAATTACTCTGGGAATAGTTAAGGAAAGTGGGGGGTAGGGGTGGGGGTGGGGCTCAATCTTTCTTCTTTGTTGCTTGCTCCTCTCCAGCACCTTCCTCTTTCTTCTCATCCTCTTCGGATTCTTTGGTGTCTTCTTCCTCGCCATCACCTCCTCCTTCTTCTTCCTCCTTTGCATCTTCAGATTCTTCCTTGGCTGTTTTAATATAAAAAGAAAATTTACAAAACCCAATCCCAGGGAAATGCAGGCCAGACATTTCTACAAAAGCCCTTAAACAATAAAGCACATGGACGGGAGGCCTGCCAGAACCCTCCCAGCTCCACTGTCAAAGCACGTGTTCCCCACAATGCTTCTCAAGATCCTTCTCCACCCATCACAGAATCGTTTCAGTTCCTCTTCAAGGCCTAACCTCAAAATTTTAAATGTGTGTCATTTGTTTGTGTTCTTTTAAGATGCCAAACTATGGTACTAAATGAACAGATTGAAAGTGAAACTTCACTACGAGTGTGTGTGTCAATTAAAAATATTTGCAAAGATTCTGTAAAACTTTGACCCATCACCTCACTGACTAAAGGCATGGCGGAATCAACACACAGGCTCTAGTGGAGATTGCAACTTCATAGGTGAGAACATTTTCCCTAGATAAGCAAGGGCCTATCCTGGGTTTCTGGGATCAACTGGCACTGATCTGAACCCGCACACAGAGTGAGAGGGGCTTGTTTTTAAGGATACCTTCTTCCTCTTCCCCTCCCTCCTCTTCCTCAGCTTCTTCCTTCTCCTTCTCCTCCTCCTCGGCTTCCCCTTCGGAGGGGGGCTCATCCTTGGCTTCCTCAGCTTTGGTGGCCTCAATGGTCTCCTCCACCTCGATCTGCTCTTCCTGGACATGGCTGGTGTAGTAGGAGGGGAAGGAGCGGGCGGACATCAGGTAGGAGCTGGTCTGCAGACCGCCATAGGTAGATCGGCCGAAGAGCTGAGAGCTCTGGGAGTAGCTACTGGAGAGGCTGCCCATGCTCGTAAAGCTGAGCCGGGTCTCTTCACCTTCCAAGAGTTTCCTGGGGATACAGGAGAAGAGTGGGGTTTAAAAAAAAAGAAGGAAAGTAAAAAGAAAATCAATAAATCAACACAAGAAGTGACTTCCACGACTTGCTCTGAGCTCCTACTATGAAGACAAATGGCTGGTTATTTTGTGATTGAGATGAAAAAAACAAGCACCAACAAATTACCAAAACACCCCCCCCCCAAAAAAAAATCAACCAGACAGACAAAAAGAAACCCTAAATAGTCCTATTCAATTTCAAATTTAGAGGGAAGCTGAGACTAGGACTCATGATGGCCAAGATAACTTCTTGTGTGTTTGTCTAAATACTTTCTTGCAAGAAGCCAAAAACCCAACAGTTCATTATTATTCTTGGAGGCTTCTGACTCAGTGTGACTTTCAGTGGGATCTGGTTCCCTTTCTCAGGCTTCGAGGCCACGCCCTCTGGCCCTGTGGCTTTACCTGTAAGCTGCGATCTCAATGTCCAGGGCCATCTTCACATTCAGGAGGTCCTGATATTCTTTCAGGTATCTTGCCATTTCACTCTTTGTGGTCCTCAGCTCATTTTCCAATTTGTTGATGGTGTCCTATAGAAAGATTTAGGACACATCTAGGCATAAATCCCTGCTGCTTTCATTGTACTGTGGTACATTCATAGCTGTGCAGGGCTGTTAAACCAAAAATGCCCACCTCTTAAAAAAAAAAAAAACACCTCTCCCCTTTGTTCTTAAAGAAAGAAAACCCTTCTTGCCTAAAATGCCAGCTTCAAAAAATGTGGGAAGAAAAATGTTACGACTTGAAAAACTGAAAATCCCTTCAACCTAAGGATCATAAAAATGGCTATTTTATAGGAAAACTGCTTCAAACACAAGCTCATTAGCCAGGTTGTATTGGAGAACATGTATGCATTGTTTACAGAAAGAAGTAGCTCCATATTTTTTTTCTAAAATGGCTTTTCTCCAAAAGGCTTTCTGCATAGCTCTATTTCTACTCCTCCAGAAAAAACCATCAGTGGTTTCCTGTGATCAACCATCACCAGCTAAGGGCCTTAAACAGTCTTGACTGTGCTCCTGGGTCTCTGCTATAAGGTGGAAATGCTTGGTTAAAAGGAGCTCTGAATAAAGCGAGCTGGTTGAGAAGTCAGCGCGTTTATGGACCCGTTGACTCCAATAGGTGGAGATAGTGGCTGGTGGGGGGGGGGGGGCTGGTCGGTAGAGAGAGAGGAGGTCACTGCAGACAGAGGACAACGCCCAACTCCCCCTCCCTCCCTCCCCACTTCTGGGGTTGCTCCTGCGGAACAGGACAACTAACTGCAGCGCACCGCAGCTTTCCAGACTGCGGAGGCGCCGCCCCGCCCCGCCCTCGCGGTCTCCAAGGAGCCAGGCCCCACCTCTACCACCTGCGCGCGCTTTAGGGGGGGGGGCACCACTTCGACCCCACCCCGCTTGTCTGCCGGCTCCCGAAGGCCGGATACCTGCATGGCGCTGATGTCGGCGTTCTGCTTGTCCTCCAGCTCCTGGAGCTGCTTCTCCAGCGCCTCGTTCATGCCCCGGCAGGCCTCGATCTCCAGGGTCTTGGCCTTGAGCAGGCGGCGGCTCTCGGACACCTCGTCCTTGGCGGCGCGCACGGCGTCGGTGTTCTTGGCGGCGCTCTCGGTGAGCACGGTGAAGCGGCTCTTGAACCACTCCTCGGCGTTCTGCATGTTCTTGGCGGCCAGCTTCTCGTACTGCGCGCGGATGTCCTTGAGCGCGGCGGAGAGGTCGGGCTTGGAGGACACGTCCATCTCCACGGAGATCTGCGCGTACTGGATCTGGGCCTGCAGCTCGGCGATCTCCTCCTCGTGCACCTTCTTCAGGAAGGCGATCTCGTCCATCAGGCTGTCGATGCGCTTCTCCAGCTCGGCGCGCGCCAGCGCGGCCTCGTCGGCGCCCTTGCGCGCCTCCATCAGGCGGCCCTCGGCGTCCTCGCGGCTCAGCACCTCCTCCTCGTAGCGCGCCTGCAGCGTGCGCAGCGTCTCCTCCAGCCCCTCGCGCTCGCCCTGCAGCGCCTGCTTCTCGGTCGTGGCGTCCTCGGCCGCCAGGCGCAGGTCGCGGATCTCCTGCTCGTACAGCGCCCGGAAGCGGGACGGCTCCGAGTGCTTCTGGCGCAGCACCAGCAGCTCGGCCTCCAGCACCTTATTCTGCTGCTCCAGCTCGTGCACGCGCTCGATGAAGCTGGCGAAGCGGTCGTTGAGGTCCTGCAGCTGCGCCTTCTCCTGCGTGCGGATGGACTTGAGGTCGTTGCTGATGGCCGCCACCTGACTCAGGTCGAGGTTCTCCAGGCTGGGCAGCAGCGACCCGGAGCTGGAGGAGTAGCTGCGGCGCACGGACAGCGAGGAGGACACGGGCGCCGAGTAGCTGGAGTAAGCGGAGCGCGCCGTGCTGTAGCCGCTGCGCACGCTGGAGATGTGGACCCGGGGCGTCTCCACGTAGCGCCGCTTGTACGAGGTCGAGTAATACGGCTCATAGCTGAAGGAACTCATGGTGGCGGCGGCCGTGCGCCCCCCGGCCCGCCCCCGGCCGGGATGGAGGCCTAGAGAGAAAGAGAGAGAGAAGGCAGGGAGGGGAAGAGAGGGCGCGGGGAGGATGGATGGCTGTGTGCAGCTCGGCGCCGGCCCGGCCGCCCCTATTTATACGCCAGGCGGCTCCTGACGCAGCCTGCGCGCGTCCCGGCGCGCGGGCCAGCGGGGGCGGGGCGCTGCCGCAGCCCCGGGGCGGGTTCTGCGCCAGGAAGCGGGGCGGGGAGGGGAGCGGGGAGCGGGACCGGCCGGGGAGCTGGCGGGGGAGCTGCGGCCCCGCTCCCCGCCGCGCCTCTCCCGGGCCACCCCCCCCACTCCCTCCGCAACCCCCGTCCCCACCCACCCCAGTGTCCCCTGGCCCAGCCCCCGCCCTGCTGTCCCTACCCCACCCTCGCCCCCGGGTCACTTGGACATTTCAGTGCCCACAAGGCCACAGGGTCTCACTCCCCACCGGCACCTCGGGGTTCCATTCAGGGCCCACGCGCGCCCCCCCAGCGTGACCCCCTTCCCACCCCCCACCCCGCCCCGAGCCTCGACCATCCACCTTCTTGATATTAATGGTGCCGTGAGACGTTTGAGATCACATAACCATCGATCACGGAGTCGACGTGGCACCGAGGCGGTGTTTGGTGGAGCAAAGTTCTGCGCTTCTGTGGGTTCCTTTCTCCCCCCTTTTTCCTTTTTATTAGTGGCACGCGCCCCGTCCCCACACCCGGGCTATTCGCCCCAACACACTGCCGGGCAAGCGCAGCGCCTTCCGTGTCCCTTTTCAGCCTCTGAAGAGCTCGGGGCCCTGGGCCCGCCGTCCAGTGTCCAGATGTTCCCATCTGGGGGTGGGGAGGGGTGCGGTGGGGGTGAAGCCTGGGATGCTTTCGCGCGGGGACGTGGCAGTGAGCCGGGAACGCGCGTGGAAGCGACTCGGGAGAGCGGCTGGTGAGGCCACTGCGCGTCGGCCGAGGCTGACGCCCGTGCGAGGCCAAGCTCCCACCTGGAAGGGGCGAGGAGAGAGGGGAGCAAGGCCTCCCTCCTCGTCCCCCCTCCACCTGTGGGACTCCCCAACCTGAGGATTTCGGGAAGCCGGGCCGGGGCCGCGGCCGGCGGGGAGCGCAGGGCGAGGTCTCCCCGGGAAGGAACACGACCCCGAGGCTGCGCGCTCCGCGAATAGAATTTGGGATTCCTAACCTATTATTATTAATAATAACCGCAATCATAATGCCAGATGCGCTCGGGACTCCGAGGGCCTGCTTTAGAAGCTCCCAGGCCACGCCGCGGGGCGCATGCGGTGTGGGGCGAGGCGCCGGGTGGCCTCGGGGTTCACGGAGGCGTTCAGAGGCTTTCAGAAGATCCCGAAGGATTTTCGTTTCGTGTTCGGTTTGTTTATGTAACCTAACATTGGCGTGAAGCTTACTGATTTCTTTTTCTTTCTTTTTTCAATTGCGCTAAGAAGATACCTGTAACTTTCCAAATAGAAACCCTGGACCCGCTTCGCTCTACCTGGCCGGATCGTTAGATCGCCCCTGGGAAGAGGGTGGGGTGGAGCTGAAGCCTGGAGGGCCTGTCGGACACACAATCACAAACCGCAAGCCCTGGACTCTGCATTCCTCTCCCTCCTCAGGGCTGGAGCTGGAGCATTCCTGGGATTTCTAAACGGAATAATGTAATCATGCTCGCTGGGGAACGCGGGTGTTGGTGGGGAACTGGGTGGGTGCTCACACCCTTCTAGGACTTCAAGCCGGCTGGCAGGCTCCTGCCCTAGCAGTCAGGGAAATTCTTTATTCTGATGGCTTCTGGTCACCTGCATAGATAGTCCTGACCTCCTTCATTAGTGACTCAGCAGTAGGATCTGCTTCTGTGAGGAGAGAGGCCAGAGAGATGCTGGCATATATTTTCCTGCATCTGATTACCCATATAGAGGGGTGTGTGTGTGTGTGTGTGTGTGTGTGTGTGTGTGTGTATGTAAGTGTAATCCAGCCCCATGTAAACGGCTCTATCTCACTTCCCTTCTGCTAGCTGTCTTCCCTAGGACTTTGCAGGTCACCCTCAGAAATCTTAAGTCTATCAGCATTTTTCCTCCTGAGCTTCTCCTGGCTGAGGGCTTGGACTGCAGGTGCTGCCTAGGAGCCCAGTGGGGCACTGGCTGTTGCTGAGGGCTGGAGGAGCAGTGCTGGTCCACCTGTGCGGTCCTTAGAATAGCCCCAAAGGAGGAGGCAGGCTGGCGAGCCGAGGGTAAGAGGCTAGGAGTGGGAAGGTGGAAGGCTCCTGCCTCCACCGTGCCAAGGGCAGTGGGGGCGGGGGAGAGGGGTATGCTTTATGTCCACCTCTGCTCTTAGACAATAGCTCCTGGCATGGCCACTGGATTCTCCACTGCAGCCTGGTGAACCCAGCCTGGGTGTGGACTGGAGCCGCCCTCCATTGTGCGTTCTTCTTCGGCTTGGAGCCTGCTGCTTTTTAAACATTCTGCCCAGTCATCCTCCTGGCTCCATCCTCCTCCTGGCCTTTTGCTCTGAAAGCCCACATAGCATTTTTCTCTGCCCATCTCTACAAAGGTAAAGTACGTAACTTTAAGCTTGATTTTTCCCTTCCCCTCTCCAAAACTGGCACTGACTGACTCAGTGTTTTCTGCAGCAGTGACAGTCTGTCTTTAGAGTAAGTACTGTCTTGTGTGTATGTGTGTGTATGCACACACACACACACACACACACACACACACACACACCTTCCCCTTTAAGAATATCCTCCACAAACATGACATTACTTAAGGGCTTCCAGCAAACTACAGGCCTGGCCGCTCAAAATGAACCACAAAATCAGTACAGGAATCTCGGGATGAAACTCACTAATAGAGTTCCTATGCCTTTGCTAACTCCTGAACACATGTCACCTCCTCTAAATGCACTATGTGAAAATATTACTATAAAGGTCACAATGTAAAACCACTCACTGAGAATATTCTTCTTCACCAGTGACTATGGTCTGAGGGCTTTGAACTGACCGGGCTTGGTGACTGGCAGCTTTTCAGTTCATTATCCTAAGATCCTTTGGTGAGGTGTGGGGCTGAAGTACTTAAGGGCCAGGGTGGGAGGAGAGGGTCAGGCAGGGCCCAGGCAGTGGTTTGGGGCATTGTCCTAGATTCTAGCAGCAGGCAGGTCATCATCAAGTAGCTGCCTCCATATCCCCAAAGTTGGCATCCACCTGCCAATGCCAGGAGGGATGCAGGAAATAAACCCTTGTGGGTACCGCCGTGCGGCTGGCACCGGCTGTCTATTATCTAATAAGGGCAAACTCCCTGCAAAGTGGTGATTCAGAGAAACAGCTGAGGCCCAAGAGGTTAGATCACTTGCCAGCACACAGCCATCTCAGGTCTAAGAAGCGGTGTCTGCTTCCAGACTGAATGGTGCCCTACTCCGGATATCTGCCGGCCCTCCTGTCCCTGTGGGATTCGATTATTGCATGCTGCAGTCCGCAGAATCTAGTGTGTGTGTGAGAGAGAGAGAGGCAGGGGGGAGGGAGAGAGAGAGCCTCTCTTCTCTGAGATGATCTGTATGAACCACTGATCCATACCTGAGCAAACTGTCATTGAATGGGTTATATTTGGACAGATACTGGTCAGTGGGAAGGGGAGATGGGAGAAGAAAGCAGTATGATCAACATACTAATCCCAATGTAAAATAAAATAGATGGAGCCAGGTATGGTGATACACTTCTGTAATCCCAGTCCTGGGAGGTGGAGGAAGGAGAATCAGGAATTCCAAGCCAGCCTGGGCTACACGGCAAGACCGTGTGTCAGAATCAATCGGCAAATCATAAATATACAAAATAAATAAATAAAACAGATGCCCTTAGTAAAACACGAAACCACCGGTTTGGTTTTTAGTGAGGGGACCGTGCAGTCCAAGTTCACACCATTACTTTAACAAGCACCTCTTCAGGAATTAATCAGCTAAAAGAACCCCAGTACCTCTTCTAATTTTTTTTTTCTAATTAAGGTATCTCCCTTTTTTTACTTGGGAAATGCATTTTCTTTGAAAAAGTGACCTGAAAAGTTTGCTGTAAGGACTCATATTAATAAATAAATAATAGCACCCAACATCCCACTTACTGAAGTTTAATCACACCTTCCATAAATCTCTAGACTCTTCCAAAAGACACATGACTATAAAAGCAAAGGGAATGTGTGCCGTGCTGACTCCATGAATATCTTCCCCTCCTATTTCTTGGTCTGTGTCATGCAACCACCACAGGAAGCCCACATGACCCTCCTCCAAGGTTTAGGAAATACACTTGCAAGGAAACTCCCTGTTTGAATATGAAATACGTGCAACTCTTACAGCCTCACATTTTGAAAGTGATGTGTCGTGAAGTGCTATGCGGCTACAGAAGATCTGGGACGCAGCACAAAGCGGAGCGTCTCTTGAATCCATTAGAAGCGCGTTTATATTCCCAACACGCGCCCGCTATTAAAATGACAGCAGCTTTCTGCTCTCCAAGCAGAAATGATGGCGATGGGCTCAGACCCCTAAATGCTTGTTCCACAGAACTAGCAAAGGTAATGTACTTCCTCCCTAGGGGCCTGCTCGGCCGGGCCTGGCCCTCAATCACAGTCACCAGTCTGAGGTAAGAAGGAGGGTGGTCCACCGGGGACAATCATCTCACAGGTCACAGCAGTATTGGTTAGAACCAACAACTCTAGCTCTGTGTCTAGCTGTACTTTCCTGTCTGCAAGGAAATGCATGCTGCTTCTGCACTTTGGGTCTTAAGCAGCCCCCAGATACTCCATGCAGTACCCAGATTTCTTGGGTGACTTTTTTTTTTTGATGGCTTCAGAAATCAATGGGAGGAACCTGAGGCTTACCGTTTGCATTTCTGTGCAGAACAGACAAAGCCTGAGGCTGGCACCTTTGCAGCCATGCTGGAGCCTGTCCAGGCAGCAGCTAACCTCCTCCCCAGTACCTCCCTGCTGCTGCTGCTGCTGCTGCTGCTGCTGTGAATTGCAGGCTGCAGGCTACAGCAAATGCTGAGTAACTGCGAATGGGCGGATCCC